TGTTCTCGCCTAGGCCCCGTCCATATTTTGCTTCAGAATCGCGCTCTCGCCTGAGACTTCCTTACATTGAATGCTGGAATCGTGCTCTTGCCTAGGCCCCGGCCACATTTTGCTTCAGAATCGCAGCAGGCTGATGCTGAGGCAGGCTGAGGCTGAGGCTGAGGCTGAGGCAGGCTGAGGCAGGCTGAGGCTGAGGCTGATGCAGGCTGAGGCTGAGGCAGGCTGAGGCCGCAGGACTATGCGGGAGCGCAGCAGGCTGAGGCTGAGGCAGGCTGAGGCTGAGGCTGAAGCAGACTGAGGCTGAGGCAGACTGAGGCCGCAGGACTATGCGGGAGCGCAGCAGGCTGAGGCTGAGGCAGGCTGAGGATGAGGCTGAGGCTGAGGCAGGCTGAGGCTGAGGCAGGCTGAGGCCGCAAGACTATTCGGGAGCGCAGCAGGCTGAGGCTGAGGCAGGCTGAGGCCGAGGCTGAGGCTGATGCAGGCTGAGGCTGAGGCAGGCTGAGGCCGCAGGACTATGCGGGAGAGCGCAGCAGGCGAGGCTGAGCAGCGGCTGAGGCTTGAGGTGATGGAGGCTGAAGCTGAGGCAGGCGGGCGAGCGAGGAACTGTGCGGAGCGCAGCAGAATGAGGACTGAGCAGGCTGAGGCTGAGGCAGGCTGAGGCTGAGGCTGAGGCAGGCTGAGGCTGAGGCTGAGGCCACAGGACTATGCGGGAGCGCAGCAGGCGGAGGCTGAGGCAGGCTGAGGCTGAGGCTGAGGCTGATGCAGGCTGAGGCTGAGGCAGGCTGAGGCCGCAGGACTATGCGGGAACGCACCAGGCTGAGGCTGAGGCAGGCTTAGGCTGAGGCTGAGGCTTATGCAGGCTGAGGCTGAGGCAGGCTGAGGCCGCAAGACTACGCGGGAGCGCAGCAGGCTGAGGCTGAGGCAGGCTGAGGCTGAGGCAGGCTGAGGCTGAGGCTGAGGCTGATGCAGGCTGAGGCTGAGGCAGGCTGAGGCCGCAGGACTAGCGGGAGCGCAGCAGGCTGATGTGCGGCAGGCTGAGGCCGAGGCAGAGGCTGATGCAGGCTGACGCCGAGGCAGGCTGAGGCCGCAGGACTATGCGGGAGCGCAGCAGGCGGAGGCTGAGGCAGGCTGAGGCTGAGGCTGAGGCTGATGAGGCAGGCTGAGGCTGACGCAGGCAGGCTGAGGCCGCAGGACTATGCGGGAGCGCAGCAGGCGGAGGCTGAGGCAGGCTGAGGCTGAGGCTGAGGCTGATGCAGGCTGAGGCTGAGGCAGGCTGAGGCCGCAGGACTATGCGGGGGCGCAGCAGGCTGAGGCTGAGGCTGAGGCTGATGCAGGCTGAGGCTGAGGCTGAGGCTGAGGCTGAGGCTGATGCAGGCTGAGGCCGAGGCAGGCTGAGGCCGCAGGACTACGCGGGAGCGCAGCAGGCTGAGGCAGGCTGAGGCTGAGGCTGAGGCTGATGCAGGCTGAGGCTGAGGCAGGCTGAGGACGCAGGACTATGCGGGAGCGCAGCAGACTGAGGCTGAGGCTGAGGCCGAGGCTGAGGCTGATGCAGGCTGAGGCTGAGGCAGGCTGAGGCCGCAGGACTAGGCGGGAGCGCAGCAGGCTGAGGCTGAGGCAGGCTGAGGCTGAGGCTGAGGCTGAGGCTGATGCAGGCTGAGGCTGAGGCAGGCTGAGGCCGCAGGACTCTGCGGGAACGCAGCAGGCTGAGGCTGAGGCAGGCTGAGGCTGAGGCTGAGGCTGATGCAGGCTGAGGCTGATGCAGGCTGAGGCCGCAGGATAAGCGCTGCAGGCTGAGGCTGAGGCAGGCTGAGGCTGAGGCTGTGGCTGAGGCTGATGCAGGCTGAGGCTGAGGCAGGCTGAGGCCGCAGGAGTACGCGGGAGCGCAGCGACTGAGGCTGATGCAGGCTGCGGCTGAGGCTGAGGCTGAGGCTGATGCAGGCTGAGGCTGAGGCAGGCTGAGGCCGCAGGACTATGCGGTAGCGCAGCAGGCTGAAGCTGAGGCTGAGGCTGAGGCTGATGCAGGCTGAGGCTGAGGCAGGCTGAGGCCGCAGGACTCTGCGGGAGCGCAGCAGGCTGAGGCTGAGGCAGGCTGAGGCTGAGGCTGAGGCTGGAGGGCTGAGGCTGAGGCAGGCTGAGGCCGCAGGACTATGCGGGAGCGCAGCAGGCTGAGGCTGAGGCAGGCTGAGGCTGAGACAGGCTGAGGCCGCAGGACTATGCGGGAGCGCAGCAGGCTGAGGCTGAGGCTGAGGCTGAGGCTGAGGCTGAGGCTGAGGCTGAGGCTGAGGCTGAGGCTGATGCAGGCTGAAGCCGAGGCAGGCTGAGGCCGCAGGACTATGCGGGAGCGCAGCAGGCTGAGGCTGAGGCAGGCTAAGGTTGAGGCTGATGGAGGCTGAGGCTGAGGCAGGCTGAGGCCGCAGGACTATGCGGGAGCGTTGCAGGCGGAGGCTGAGGCAGGCTGAGGCTGAGGCTGATGCAGGCTGAGGCTGAGGCAGACTGAGGCCGCAGGACTATGCGGGAGCGCAGCAGGCTGAGGCTGAGGCAGGCTGAGGCTGAGGCTGAGGCTGATGCAGGCTGAGGCTGAGGCAGGCTGAGGCCGCAGGACTATGCCGGAACGCACCAGGCTGAGGCTGAGGCAGGCTGAGGCTGAGGCTGAGGCTGATGCAGGCTGAGGCTGAGGCAGGCTGAGGCTGAGGCCGAGGCTGAAGGCAGCCTGAGGCTGAGGCTGAGGCAGGCTGAGGCTGAGGCTGAGGCTGAGGCAGGCTGAGGCTGAGACTGAGGCAGGCTGATGCTGAGACTGAGGCAGGCTGAGGCTGAGGCAGGCTGAGGCTGAGGCTGTGACTGTGACTGCCGTTGCCACTGCGACTGTCATCGCGAATGCGACTGCGACTGCGAGAACAGCAGAATTCTACAACTGGATTCTCGAATATTCAGGGGAATGCTTCCAGATATGCTTTTACACATTGCTGTTAGGTTGCTTTGCCGGGATAATGTTTTTTTTGTTCGATGGTTTTAGAGATCTGGCTTTTTCGGGCTTCCGACGCCCCAAGACGGGTCCATAGGTCCTCGAGATCTGCCGAAGACGGCGCAAGAGGCCCCCAGGAGGCTCGCAAGACGGCCCAATATCGCTCCAAAACAGCCGCCAAGGCCCCCAAACGGCCCCAGAGACTTTCAACACGGCCCTGAAGCGCCCAAAGAGGGACCCGCGACTGCCCAGGGAGGGGCCAAGACAGCCTCTGAAAACCAAGAGGCCCCCAAGAGGTCCCCAACAGGCCCCAGGAGGACCTCCAGTAAACCGGAATCAATTAGTTATTGTTGCTTGGTTTTTCAATGATTTTAGCGGTCTCGCCTTTTCGGGCTTCCGACGCTCCAAGACGGGCTCATAGACCTCACGCCCCAAGACGGCCCGAAAGCCTCCCAAGAGGCCCGCAAGACGGCCCACGAGGGCCCCATGACAGCCCTCCAAGACGGCTCCAAGACGGCCCCAGAAACCTCCAAGACCGAGCCCCAAGACGGCCTCCGAAGGCGAAGAGGGCCCAGAGAGCCCCCCCAAGAGGTCTCCAAGAGGCCCCATGAGAACCCCAAGAGGCTCCCAGGAGGCCCCCAAGGGGCCCCTCAGAGTCCCCCCAAAGCTCCCAGGAACCCCCCAGAAGGCCTCAAGATGGCCTCAATAGGCCTCCTCCTCCTCCTCCTCCTCCTCCTCCTCCTGCTCATTCTCCTTCTGCCCATTTATCTCCGCCTCCTTTCTGTTCCTCTCTCAAGTGTTCCCCAAGAGGTTCCACAACGGCTGCGGGGGGCACGCAATTAGTCCAACAGCTCCGCCGGATGTCGGCCCAAAGTTGGGGCCGCACGGGCGTTTTCAGAAGGCAGGCGGCGGCGGCGGCGATTCGCCGCAGGCGTCGCCGATGGTTCAGTCCCGAGGACTCAGACCAGAGGACTGCAGGGGGACCTGAGAACACTCCAACTCGTGCCTCGCGGCACGGTGGCCGATGAGACGCCCTGCTTGAATCGGCGGCGAGCCCAGGGGGGGGAAGTGGGAAGGTCTCCTTCTCACTTCTTTTTCCCTCTGTCACCGCCAGTTGAGTCCCCCTCCTAACCTCTTTGTCGCAAATCCTTCCCGCCTGCGCTCCAAGGTCGGGGCTTTGGGGAGCAGCACGGCCAGAAAGATGCGGCGTCGGAGGTTTCCACAGCACGACTCAGGCCGAAAATGACCAGACATGACCGGTCCTGCGGGAAAAGGTCCAGGCTTCTGAGGAGCAGCACGGCTAGAAAACCACGACGTCGGATGTCTGGGCGCACGTTGGGCTCGGCCGCAGCAGGCTCCTTGGGCCCTCTCCGGCGGAGGCCGTTGCGTGCATCTGCTGGGCCGCGGATGGTCGTCGTCGTCGTCGTCATCGGCGTCGTCGTCTTCGTCGTCGTCGTCGCCGTCGTGGACGTGGTCGTCGTCGTCGCCGTCGTGGTCGTGGTCGTCGTCGTCGCCGTCGTCGTCGTCGTCGTCGCCGTCGTCATCGTCGTCGTCTTCGTCGTCGCCTGGTTATTGACGTTTTGGGCCCTCCACGCACGCAAAGGATGTGACCCAAATTCATGTCCCACCGCCAGGGATCACATCCACCTGACATCCGACGTCGCGAAAAGGTTGTACAACACCGCGAAAATTACGACCGGAGCTCTAGGCTCCATCTTTCTGCTGCATTTTTCGAGCTGGATCGATTTGTGATGGCCCCGGGGCCCGACGATTAGCGAAACCGCCAGGTGCGAAAAACACTGCAACGCCTGGATCTGAAAGGAAGCACGCTGCTCAGGAGCACGAGGAACGCTGGGGGAGCAGCGATGGAAGGACCTACGTAGGGAGCAGCGAGGAGGAGGAGGAGGAGGAGGAGGAGGAGGAGGAGGAGGAGGAAGAGCAGGAGCAGGAGGAGGAGGAGGAGGAGGAGGAGGAGGAGACCTCGGTGGATGTGATCCTTGGCTGTGCAGCGCGGGGGCCTGCCGGCGCCTCCCACGAGAGGATGTGCGCGGGCGACGCGCTGGAGGAGTTCTGGCGGTTCGCCACGAGCGGGCCCCGGACCGTCCACCCCGCGCCCTCGGCCGCCTCGCCGCTCTCCTCGTCGTCCTCCACCGGCAGGCCCCACTGCCGCTCGGCATCTCCCAGGCGCAGGGTCCTGGGGAAGCCGTGGGTCTCGCCGTCGGGCTCGCAGACCACGCTCATCCCTTTCTTCTTCCTCCTCCTCCTCCTCCTCCTCCTCCATCCTCCTCTCCTCCCTCTCCTCCTCTCCTCCTCTCCCCCTCCTTCTCCTCCTCTCCTCCTCCTCCTCCTCCTCCTCCTCTCCTCCCCCCTCCTTCTTCTCCTCCTTCTCCTCCTCCTCTTCCTCCTCCTCCTCCTCACTCTCTCTCGCTCTCTCTCTCTCTCTTTATCTCTCCTCTGGGTTGTTGTGTGGTCTTGTGTGTCTCTCGTTGTTTTTGTTTGTTCTCTCTCTCTCGCTCTCTCTCTCTCTCTCTATCTCGCTCTCTCTCTCTCCCTCTATATATATGTATATATACATACATATGTATGGATGTATCAATGAATGCATGAATTGATGACTGCATTCGTGTATGAACGTGTGTACGAATGTATACATGCATCCGTCTGTACGGGTGAATGCATGTGCGCATACGTGTGTGAATGCGTGTACGTATGCCTGCAGGCATGCATGCATGCATGTATGCATGTCTGCATGTCTGCATGTAGCAGCGTATGCATGTATGCATACATGCACGCATGCATGCACTTATGTATGTATGTGTGTATGTATGGGTGTATGTATGTATGCATGGAGGTATGTATGTATGTCCGTACGTACGTATGGTTGCGTGTAGATATGTGTGTTTGTATATGGATGGATGTGCGGATTGATGCATTGATTGATGTATGCATGTATGTGTGTATGTACGAATAGATGGTGGTTTGATTGTTTGTGTGTGTTTGGTTGTTTTGTATGTTTGTCTGTGTAAGTATGTATGGCTGTATGTATGCATGCATGCACGTATGCATGTATGAATGAATGGGCGTGTCTGTATGCATGTGTGCATGTATGAATGACTGTCTGCATGCATGCGTGTATGTATGTATGTATGTATGTGTGTGTATGTATGTATGTATGTATGTATGTATGTATGTATGTATGTATGTATGTATGTATGTATGTATGTATGTATACGTATATCTATGTAGGTGTGGATGAATGTATGCGCGTATGCAAAATGCATGCGTATGTATGTGTGTTTGCATGTATGTATGCATGCATGTATGTACGGTGTGTATGTGCGTATGTATGTATGTATGTAGACATGTATGCATGCATGCTCGTGTGTTTATGTGTATGCGTGTATACATATAACGGCGCACCGGGTCCCGGGGCCCGGGGCCGGGACCCCGACCACAAATGTGGGCCCCGGGGGGCCCGGAGGCTCGTCGGACCGCCGGACGCCGTCCAAGATCGTTCGTAGGCGGCTTCGGAACGCGCTCCGATGGCTCCAGATGCCTTCCAAGACGCCTGTCATGACACCAAGAAGGTCCCAGAAGCCTCCAAGACGCTCCGAGAGGCAGCCCAAGAGAGGCCCAAGAAGCAAAAATCGTGCCATTCCTATGGGAAACGTATATTTTTCGCATGTTCGCCTCTTGGGCTTTCACCGCGTCCAAGACGGCCCAAGAGGCGCCCAAGACCGCCCCAAGACGGCCCAAGAAGCTTCCAAGAGGGCCCCAGGACAGCCCAAGAGGGCCCCAAGACGGCCCAAGAGGCGCCCAAGATGGCCCAAGAGGGCCCCAAGACGGGCCCAAGAGGGGGCCCAGAGGGGGACCACGAACCGCAAGCTCGAGCCTTCCGCCCCAAGAGGCCGCCAGGAGGCCCCAAGGAGGCCCCTCAAGAGGCCCCAGGAGACCCCCAAGAGGCCCAAAGGAGGCCCCGAGAAGCCCCAAATCGGCCCCCAAAATGCTTCGAACCTGCTTCCAGGAGGCCCCCGACAGGTTCAGAGGCTCCCGAGAAGCTACGTCAAACTCCCAGCGAGCGGCCGGACGAGGCCCCCCACAAAATCACAAGAGGGTTCCAGTATTTGTATCCTTCAGCGCTCTCTGGCCTTCTTCCCCCTGCCCCCTTCCCTGCGACGTTCGTTGACTCGAGCTCGCCTCCTAGCTAGAACCTAAGCGCGCGCGAAGCGCGCGCGTGGTTCTAGTATAAGTGTATGCATGTATGTATGTATGCATGTACGTATGCCTGTATGCCTGTCTGTATGTATGTATGCATGCGTGCATGTATGTATGTATGTGTGTATGTATATACGTATGCATGTATGTATGTATGTATGTGTGTGTGTATGTATGTATGTATGTATGTATGTATGTATGTATGTATGCTATGTTATGTTATGTTATGTTATGTTATGTTATGTTATGTTATGTTATGTTATGTTATGTTATGTTATGTTATGTTATGTTATGTATGTATGTATGTAGTATGTATGTATGTATGTATGTATGTATGTATGTATGTATGTATGTATGTATGTATGTATGTATGTATGTATGTATGTGTGTATGTATGCATGTATGTATGTATGTATGTATGTTTGTATGCATGTACGTACGTACGTATGTATGCATGTATGTATGTATGTATGTTTGTATGCATACCTGCATGCATGCATGCATTTCTGTATGTATGTATGTATATATGTATGTATGCGTGTATGTATGTATGTATGTATGTATGTATGCATGTATGTATGTATGTATGTATGTATGTATGCGTGTAGGTGTATGCATGTATGCCTGGGAGTGGATGCGTGCGTATGTCTACGTAGCTGTATGTTTATGGTAGGTAGGTACAAGTTGTTGTATAGTTGACATCTCGTATACATACACACATGTAAACCACATGTCTGTAGTAGCCTTCGGCCCATCCCGCCACCGCGCCTGGATCGTATGTGAGAGGCCTCTCTGATGCTTGTTGGAATCTCTTAGCCTTTGGGAAGACTCTTCGCGGCAGTGTTGGGGTGTTTGGGATCCTCTCGGGGGTCTCTTGGGGGCTTCTTGGGGCCTCGTTCGGGCCTCTTGGGGGCAGGTGGCCTAGGGTTTGGGGGCCTCTCGGGGCCAGCTGGCGGTCTCGGGTGTCATCGTGGGGCGGAGGGCTCGACAACTGTGTTCTCTGGAGAGGCCCTCTTGGGCCGCCTTGGGGCTCGATTGGGGCGTTCTGAGGCCCCCTCGGGTGCCCATTGGGGGCCTCTCGGGCCGTCTTGGGGCGATATCGGGGTCCTCATGGGCAGTCTTGGAGCGTCGGGAGCCTGGCAATGCGAAGACGCTAATATCTTTGCCAAAGCCCCGGACTGTCAATGAGTGTAGGCTCTTGGGGCCCTTCCGAGGGGTCTTTGGGAACCCTCTTGGGACTCCTTGGGGGCTTCTTCACTTGAAGCCATCTTGGGCGTGTTGGGGCGCTCTTTGGCCGTCTCGGGGCGCTCATGCACCGTCTGGGAACCTCCTGAGACCCTGTTGGGGCTTCTGTGGTAGTTTGGGGCTGGCTTAGCGCTTAGAATGCTCAGCGACACACTCTGGAAATCCCTGAGTCCGCACAGGAATTCCCAAAGGCGCCCAGGAAACTGGGGGTCGGGGCCTATACAATCCCTGCAGTGATTCCCTTGAGCACTGACAGTTGATGAGCCTTTGGGCATTCCTCTACGTGCTGAAGGCCCGGCGGTGGATTTATTTCACCAGGGCCAGGAAAGGGCAGCCCGTGCGTGGAGAAAACAACGAGGGGCATGCAAATACGACCGACAGGCGACACCACCCCCTGAGATCCGACATTGCGAAACCTAGCCTGCGGCGTGCCCAACCCATGTGCATCAAGTGGCCAGACTAGCTGGCCCACCTTAATCTGGAAAGTGAAAATGCAGGAGCCGTCATGTGGTGTGCAAGCTACATGGGATGCGCGCGCAATGCGCGACTCACGGGACAGCGATAATCGGACGAGGTGAAAAAGGTCCCATGCTCGAAGAGGACTAGTAGCAGGAACGTGGGGCAGGATAATGACGGAAGGGGGGCCGAAAAGTCGGCGCGGCGGCAGCAGGGAGACGGAGAAAGCGGAAAGGGGATGAAACCCACAGAGGCGGGACAAGAAAGGAGGGTGGCATGTGTTCCCCAATGGCACGCTGGTGAGCAGCGCAGCCCGCGCCATGTCGCCCTGGCTAGTGCTGGAAGCGAGCGGGGCCCACCTTGCCCGCCAGCCTCTCCGCTTCCGTCCTGCACCATTCCGAGCGGGAGCTCAACGCCCGCAGGCCCGCCGCCAGGTCAGCGGGAGGCCCGCGGGAAAGGAAATCGAGCCGGGGGTCGCTTATCAACAGCAGGTTGTCCACCTTCGTGGCCCTTGAAAGCATCCCGTAGAGATGCAGCCAGAGGCCGTCCAGGTCCTCCGCATCCTCGCACCCGACGTCAATAATGATTCCGTGGTGCAATGACGGCGATGTCCTGCTTTGACCTTGGTAGGACTGATTTCGCTGGCCCCGCCGCGCTCCGAGGAGAGGTGCGTGCGAAACGGATCTTGTCCCACGTCGGGTTCTCGTCGCCCATGAACTCCAGTATGCGGGCCCGTGTCATCCTCAGCTCCTCGCCCCACCTGCCGCGCAGCTCGCACCAGGCGTCGAGTCTCATCTTGGGCGGCCACGCCTAGTCTGCCTCGTCACTGAGCTGCAGGCGGGCCTCGGCAGCCTCCACCTGCTGCTTGTAGTGTCCCTGTGCGTGTGGTGCTCCTGGCTAGAGAAACAGGACCATGGCCAGGCCTCGCGCTTGCCATCCTGGAGCTCCTGACCCACAGTCCGCGCGCGCCTCGGCCTGGGCTCCAACTTGTAGTCCTTGGGCGGCACGCAGTTGTCCATCTCCGCCTCTGACGTCTTTGGGAAGTTGGCGCAGCTGGGGCAGCAGTCCGACAAGTGGACGTGGTCTCACCCTTCGTGCTGGAACACCGCGAAGCCGTAGGCGATGACGTTGGTGATGCTCGACGGGAACTTGATGGATCGGAACAGGGGCCTGGAGTTCTGGCCGATTGACCGCAGCCCGTGGAACGCCTCCTTGCGCGGGAAACCCAGGCACAGCGACGCCGTGAAGTTATCGCATCCGCGCGCCATGTGCACCAGATGCCCCTCGATGCGCCCGATGCTTGCCAGCGTCCCCTTGGCCGCGCCGCTGGCCTCCTCGGAGTGCCTGCTGGCTCGCCCAAGCTCTCTGGCCAGGTTTTGCAGGCCAATGCCCGGCTCGGTCTCGGGGAGGCGGGACGCCGGCGTGGCAGCACGTGCATTCTGCTTCAAGGCATTTTTTGTCCCCTCCTCCATCATTCCTCGGTCCTCCTCCTCCTCCTCCTCCTCCTCCTCCTCCTTCTCCTCCTTTCCCTCCTCCTCCTCGTTCTCCTCCCCCTCCTCCCCCTCCTCCTCCTCCCGCACGTGCTCGCGGCGGACTCCACAGAAACGACTGCGTTCGCCCGCGCTCGCCCGCGGAGCGTTTTGGAGCTCGCTCCCCCCGGCGCGAAGAACGCGGCCGGGTCGATCCTCGGGGCCGCCCAGTGGGTTGGACCCAGACATGATCGCGTCGTTAAAAAATCACGACACGACGGGGAGGCTTTGGCCGTGTTCGGCCTCGAGGGGCACTCGCCGTGCCTCGGGAGCGTCAAAAAACGACTCAGGACGAAAAACGCCGGTCCTGGGGAAAGGGTCGGCCGGGACTTCCAGGGACCCCGTCTTGAAAAAATCAGGCCGACGTCACATGTCTGGGGAGGCCTCCTGCCAAAGAACCCCCAGCCCCAGCGGAGCGCTGACCGGCGGCGTCGGCGTCGCAGGTGTGGGGGGGCGGGGGCCGCTCAGCGTCCGCTGGCGGCGGCGCTCCTCTTGCTGGTGGGGCCCCTCCTCCCGCGAGCTCCTTGCACCACATGGTTCGGCAGCCGCGCAGCAGGCTGGGCCCGGCCTCGCTGACCACGCCGTCGTGCATGGCGTCTGCTACCTCGGTGAGCTCCGCCAGGAACGCGCGGTGGCCCGTGCCGCTCTCGGCCGCCATGGCCCCGCGAGCTTCCTCGTCAGACTGGCCGTCCGCCCTCTTGGACGGGTAGTTCGAGATGGGGGTGGCACGCGGATCTCCTCTGCGCTGCGCCTCGTCCTGCTCGCGGGCCCTCGTGAGCCGCTCGTCGAGGCCGTCTCGCGCATCCATCCTTGGCGGAGCAGCGCTCCGGCTCCTAGATCTCGACCTCCGAGCCAGGTGATGCCTGCTCCTTTCCCGGGCCACCGCTGCGGCTGACATCGGGCTCAGGCCGTCCCCGCGGTCTGACAGCCGAAGTGCCGCCCCGGCCCTCCAGCAGCGAGCAGGAGGCTGAGCACGGATGAACTCGTCGAGCAGCCTCGTGGCGAGGCGCCGGGAAGGCCCCGCCCTGGATGGAGAAGATGACGTTCAGCCCAATCGCCGCCGCGTTCGATCGTCCTGCGCGGCGTCCTTGGATGGGCCGACGAAGCGAGCGGGGAAGCTGCAGTAGGCGTTCCATCCCGCGTCTGCTCCCGCCAGGGGGCCCCGCGCGTGTAGCGGCCACGCTGGGTCGACGGCCACCTTGGCCGGCGGAGTGCCCTGGCGGGCGGCCGCTTTCGGGCGCTCCTCCTTCGGCTCCTCTGCCTCGTGCTCGCTGCCCTGGGACTTGGCGCCCCTGGCTGCTCCTCTCCTCTGGCCGCGGGGTCGCGGAACGGCTGCGCCACGACACCGACCTGCCCATTGCATGCGCCGAGCAGAGGGGAAGCCATCCTTCTGCGTGGCCCTCTCGCGGAAGCAGCGGGCACGAGCGCAGTTCCTCTGCGCCGCCGGGGCCTCGCAGGGCCGGGCGTGAAGGGGGCAGGCCCTGCAAGCGCGTGTGCCATCGGCCCCTGGGGCGTCACGGACGTCTGGGACGGCGGCGTCCTCGGCCAGCATCAGGACGGGCTCCTGCCTGGCTGGGTCCCTGCAGCCTCCCGTGCACAGCACCCGGGTCCCGCCATTGGCCGCGTGCGCGATCCTGGCAGCCTCGCAGACGTCCGCGCTCGGCTCTGACTCGGTCTCGGAGTTCAGGTCCATCTCCTCGGCTGCCCCGGCCATGGTCCTGAGGGGGGTCCTGAGGGGAAACGACGCGTGTACGGTCTGCGCATCGGGGTGGGGGTTATGACGCTGACGTGGCTCTGCTGCTGATGATGATGGTGATGATGATGGCGATGTATGTTGGCGATAAAGAGCACGGCTGATGATCAGGATGAAGATGAAGGTGAATATGACGATTATGCTGAGGATCGGGGTGATGATGAGGGTGATGATGATGATGATGATGGTGGTGGTGATGAGGATGCTGATGATGGTGGTGCCGCTGATGATGATGGCGATGCTGATGATGGTGGTGCTGCTGATGATGATGGTGATGATCATGGTGAAGATGATGGTGGCGATAATGACGATGATAAGGATGCCAGTGATAATGATGATGACGATGATAATGACGATGACGATGACGATGACGATGAGGATGAGGATGATGATGATGATGCTGATGATGATGATGAAGATGATGATGATGATGATGATGATGATGATGATGATGATGATGTTGATGATGATGATGCTGATGATGATGATGGGGGTGGTGATGCTGCTGCTGATGATGATGGTGGTGGGTGTGGGTGACGATGATGATGATGATGATGATGATGATGATGATGATGATGATGATGATGATGATCATGGTGGTGGTGATGGAGTTGGTGATTGTAATGATGCTGGTGATGATGATGACGCCCGGGATGCTACTGACGAGGGTGTGAGGATGATGATTGGGAGGTTCGAGGAGGAGGGCGAGGATGAGGAGGAGGCTGATGGCACAAATAATAATAACGATGCTGATGTTGATGATGATGATGAGGAGGAGGAGGATGAGGATGATGCTGATGATGCTGATTGTAATGATATTGATGATGCCGATGATGATGAGGGGGTTGTGATGGTGATGATGACCATCATGCTATGATCATGATCCTGATGATGCTGGTGGTGGTGATGATGATGCTGGTGGTGATGATGACGGCGATGCTGGTGATGATGTTGATCATGATGGTGATGTTGATGGTGATGATGATGCTGCTGCTGATGATGATGCTGTTACTGTTGGTGATGATGATGCTGATGATGATGGTGCTGGAGGTGGTGGTGGTGGTGGTGGTGGTGGTGGTGGTGGTGGTGGTGGTGGTGAAGATGGTGGTGATGCCGTGATGGTGCCAGTGATGGTGAAGAGTTTGATGGGGATGATGGTGCTGAGGAGGAGGAGGAGGAGGTGGAGGGTCCTCCCTGCTGCTGCTGCTCCTCCCCCCGATCCCTCGGCCGCCAGGACCCTCAGCCAAGCGGCCGCCTGGTCGCCGCGCCTGCGCGGGGCCTGGCTGACGGAGGAGAGCGCCTCCGCATCCCTCCGCCCCCCCTCCCAGCCCCCGCGCCTGCCTCCCGCCTTCGAGAAGAAGAAGAATAATAACATAACGATGATACTAATAATGACACGAAAAATAATGGCATGACGAATACTAAGGATACAAATAGTAATCATGAGATGAATGAGAATAATAATTTTAAGAAGACGAGTAAGACGAATAGCACAAATAGTTACAATAGCAATAGCAATACATATACGATCATGAGATGAGGGCGGAAGAAGAGGGAGGAGGAGAAGGAGGAGGAGGAGGAGGAGAAGGGGGAAGGAGGAGGGGGAAGGAGGAGGACCAGCGTGAACCCAATGTGCCGAGATGCGTTCGAGGATGAGGCGGAGGAGGAAGAGGAGGAGGAGAAGGAGGAGGAGGAGCACGAGGAGGAGGGGGAAGGTGGAGGGGCAGCGTGGACCCAAGTCCCCGAGATGATTTCTCGAGTCCGCGGCCCCATGGACCCCCGACCCTCGGCGGAGGCAAAGATGCCCAAACTGCTGCCCCTGCCCCGTTTTCGCCTGTTTGGGCCTGCTGGGAGGCCCTCGTCGCCACTGCTGGATTCGCCTCGAAATCCAGGTCCGAACGCGCCCCGGGAGAGGTCCAGGAGTGCATGGCAGTATCGGTGCCAGCTGCTTCGCCCCGGATCCACTCCTGATGGCCCCGGGCGGCCCCAGAGGCCGGAACCGACGAAGAAAGCCCGCACTGAAAAAAGCAGCATATTCTGGATGGGACAATAATCGTCCTCCCCTTGGATCCGCGAGGGGTGGGGGGGATGGGCATATGCTGTTGGAGAAGGAGCGGGAGGAGGAGGAGGAGGAGGAGGAGGAGGAGGAGGAGGAGGAGAGGAGGAGGAGGAGGAGGAGGAGGGAGAGGAGGAGGAGAATGAAGGGGGGAGGGGGGGGTTAGGGGAAGGGGTTCAGTCCGGGAAGGTCCCCCCCTGACAACTACAGTCGACCCGCATAGGAAGGATGATCGTCTAGGGAGCGGGGGGGGTTAGGGGCAAGCTCCGTCGGAAGGTCAATCCCCCCCTGACAACTGCAGCCGACCCGCATAAGAAGGATGCTCGACTTCCCCAGGGTACCCTTGCACCCTTGCCTCTTCGGCCATCTTCGGCCCATCCTCGACCACTCTCGATGGCCAGCCCCGCTCGAAGAGCCTCGGCACGGGCGTCCAGGCTCCTCCTCCTCCTCCTCCTCCTCCTCCTCCTCCTCCTCCTCCTCCTCCTCCTCCTCCTCCTCCCCCTCCTCCTCCTCCTCCTCCTCCTCCTCCTCCCCCTCCCCCTCCTCCTCCCTCATTGCGCATCCTTACCAGACGGGTGGGCTGTGCCCCGCCCAGGGCATCCTCGGAGATCCGGGCCCGACCGTCGCCGAGCCGGCCGCGAGGACCTCGTGGTCCAGCGCGTGCACGGCTGGGGCCCCCGGGCCGTGCGGCTGCTGTGCGTGCGCGGGAGCGCCGCGGACGCGCCGCTGCGGCGGGCGCTCGAGCAGCACCGCCCCCGCCCCGATGCTCCGCCACCGCAGGCACGCTGAGGGCGATGCAGGCTGCGAGTCATGGCAGCCTCGTCTGCCCTCGCCAACCCGTCTTTGGCGTCGAGTGGCGTCTTGGAGTCGATGAGATAGCGCCGATTTAGCGTCGATTAGCGTCGACTTAGCGTCGATTAGCGTCGATTTAGCGTCGACTAGCGTCGATGCTCCGACACCGCAGACACGCTAAGGGCGATGTATCGGAGGAGGAAAAGGTACCCATACCTCTACCCTTCGCCCGATTTCCCCTTTTTGGGCCTCCTGGGAGGCCCTCGTCGCCACCGCTGGATTCGCCTCGAAATCCAGGTCAGAGCCCACCCCGGGAGAGGTCCGGGGAGTAGCGGTATCGGTACTGTTCGGTCTCCCAATGTAGGTACAGTCGGATCGAGGTATAAGATAGATTTCGGTTCGGGGAGGGTGCCCTCATGGTCGTGGTGTTTGTTGTGTGCATCCTGGGGAGGGTACCCTTGGATGTTCTGCGTGTGTTGGCCGACGGCAGGTCCCGTGCTCTTGAGGGATGTTCTTCTGGCCCAGGTCCGACTCTGACGGCGATGTAGGTTTCGGCACTGTAGGTGGGGGCGGTTCGTGGCGACCCCATGGCGGGAAAGCGCTGCTCGTGCTTCCCTGCGCTGCGTCCTGCGCGAGATCGGCGCCGCAGAAACCAGGTCCCCGAGATGACGATGACGATGACGATGACGATGACGTCGTCGTCGTCGTCGTCGTCGTCGTCGTCGTCGTCGTCGTCGTCGTTGCCGTCGCCGTGGCTCTGGCGACAGCCCCGCTGCTCCGACGGCACCGCTCGTGCAGCACCGCCGAGAGCCTTCGGCCCGAGGCGGAGCCCAGAGCTCCGGCCCGGCCGCCGCAGCGTCGGCGCGACGGGGCGGCCAGGCGCTGTGGCCTGCCGTCCTGCTCCTCCTGCTCCTCCTGCTCCTCCTGCTCCTCCTCCCCCTCCCCCCTCCTCCACCTCCTCCACCTCCTCCCCCTCCTCCTCCTCCTCCTCGCCCCTCCGTAGCCATTTTGGCTCAAGATGTTTCCGCCCCGTGGCAGAGCACGGAGACCCTTGGTCCAGGGACAGCTCAGGACCCGCTTTCATAACCCCGCCCTCCACCGTCCCAGTTGGTCGAGCTTCATATTCGGCACAGTTGTCGCCAGCTGCTGCCTCCACGCGCGATCGACAGAGGCTGGCGCGGGCCTCATCTCTCGCAAGCAGCTAGCATGGGAGGCAAAGGCGTACCAGCTCCTTTCGCCACCGAAGGTGCTCTCGGAAAAGTGGACGGCAAAGGCCAACAAGACCCATGGCACGAAGGAGCTGCTCTACTCGGCAACAAACTCGCCGTGCATCCCGCCCACGTCCGCAAGCAGCTGGAGGAGACCATGGCCGCCCAGATCGCTGACGCCAGCGCCAAGTTCGAAGCCACCGCCCGAGCCGTCACAGCCAAAGCTAGTCAAGACTTCTTCGACAGCTTCACGAAGATCACAGCCGACCTCAGCCAGCGACACGGGGCCACGGAACGCAACATCACCGAAGTCAAGCAGCGCAACACCTCCCTGGAGGAAGAGAACATCGACCTCAAAGCCGCCGTCGCCAGACTCGACGCCATCGTCACAGCTGCAGAAGCACGAGCGCCTGCCCTCAACCTGGACGGCCTCGGCACGTGGGACCGCGATCCCGACCCAACGACTTTTTGGTGCAGCAGCCCGCAGGAGTTCAATCAACCCGAGCTCGAGGAGAGCCTTGCCGACTGGTTCACCGCCGCTGGCATCGACAAGAGCCACATCATCTTCAACACCGTCGGCCCCGCCAAGCGCCACTCGTTCCAGGTCAGCGGAGGAACCGTCGTTGCCGAACCCCGAGCTCAACGACTCCACGGAGCTCTCCGCAATGGAACGGAATGGCGCACTTTCAGTATACTTCGGAGCAATGGTCTTCTTGCTCCTCTCTATGTCTCCGCCGACAAAAGTCCGAAAGCCGTTCGAACAGAAGTGCAGATAAAGAGGTTATCAAAGATCATGCAGAACGCCGTGCCTGACACTGACATTCGCACTCATCGGACTCTCGGCTACGTTAGCTATCGCGGTGAAGCTTTGGCCCGCTTGCTCGTCGGAGCCAACGCTGACGCTCCTACCCGCATCCAGTGGTCCAGCGCCGCCATCACCTGCGGCTTCGACGAAGCCAAGCAGCAGCAGATCAACGCAGAGTTCGCCTCCAACTTCGCAGACGCCCTCACATCCGCGCAGTGGCTTTGGCCATCGCTGGAGCCCATGGCTCCTCAAGCCCTCGCAGGAGGGCCTCAACGTGGCATTCTGGAACACGCAAACTCTACTCGGACAATCAGACCAACGCCGTGAAGACAAACGCCGCATGATTCTGCCATATCTTCGTCAAAGAGCACTAATCGCCTTCCAGGAAACGCACGGTGCGATCGACGACCTCTCCCTCCTGGCCAACTCGACCCAGCACCCGTGCAAGCCGTTCCACTCCCCCGCGATGGCCGACAACATCCCCGTCACCAACGCAGGCGGCGTGGGCTTCCTCGTCCCGTGCGACAAGGGCGAACAAATACTCCCCCCTGCGCTGCGTCCTCGCATCAGGTTTGAGGTCGTCATCCATGGCCGTGCCGCCTGGCTTCGGGTCACGGATGCCAGCCTCCAGTTCGAATTGACCGTCCTCAACATCCACAACTACGGCTTCACCGCAGCAGATCGACTCTATCTTCGAGGTCAGTGGCAAGCACTCCGACAGCACGCCGACGAACAACCACAACATCGCCTCTTCATGGTCGTGGGCGACTTCAACGCGGCTGAATTCCCACCGGAGTCGCTAAATGCCCCCGTCGACTCTGACACCACCGCCGCGCAGAGGTACCAATGCCAACGTGTATTCTGGCGATCTCTTTTTTCGCGATATGATCGAGATTACATCACCCTCAACTACCCACAGAGCTGAAGGGAACATGAGCGAATCCACCATCGACCGATGCTTTATCAACCTCCCCAGCCATCTCATGCCCCTCATGGAGACCATCTTCATAGCTGACGACTCCCCGCTCGAGAACCCCCGCGGCCCGATAAGCGACCACAAGATTATGCACGTCCGCATCCGCCTCCGCAAGCCCAAGGTCGCCACGGAGCGAGGCGTCCCCGCGTGCAACTTCGACGCTCCCCACTATAAGCATCACGTCACCAAGATTCTTGCCAACATAGACATGACCAACATGGCCCCGATTGCAAAATGGCGCTCGCTCAAGGCCGCGATGCAGGTCGCAGCCGCCCACGCCCGCGACGCGCTGACCAAGCTCCCAGCAGACGAGTGGACATCACAGCCTGGAATCGTATCCAAGGAGACCCGCGCCATGACTCTTCGCAGCATCGCACGGGCTATCTGGTACCAGAACGTCCCGCTCGCGAACTCGCTTATTGAGCACACCAACACCGGACGCCTTCACCTGAAGGTCATCGGAAACACTGTCAGCGTAAACGACGTGCCGACGTTCACCAGGGCCGCCGACGCCACGCACGCCAGCCTCAGCAACGAACGCAAAGCCATTGCATCTGCTCGGTCTCGCGCCGCCTTCGCGGCCAACAACGCCCCACTCGGTCAGAAGTGGCGCCAACGTGCCAAGAGAGAAGGCTACCGAGGCGAACTCTGGAAGCCCTTCGCCAAGCGCCTCGCGCTCACGGGCGTCAAGATCATCACCGGCAACTCGTCGAACATCGTCACCGATCCCGCCGCCGTGCACCAGGCCACCATGCGACACTGGGCCCCCGTGTTCGCCGAGAAGCATGTTGACGCGACTCTGCTCACAAACTACCTCGACTCGGTTTTCCCACGACGCCCACGAGCTGATCTTCCCATCCCTGACGCACAGGATCTCAAGAAGGCCGCCCGCCTTGCAGGTGGCTCTGCGCCAGGCCCAGACGGACTTCCCTACCGCGCCTGGCTTCGCGCCCCCGACAGCTTCGACATTCTAGCCGACGTCGGCGACGACATCGCCGCCAACAGTTTCATCCCGCACGACCTCAACTTTTCTCTCATGGCCACGTTGCCGAAAGGCGACGAACCCACGGGCAACGCAGAGTGCACGCGTGCCCCAGAGTGCTTGCGGCCGCTCTCAATGAAGAACACCGACGTGAAGCTACTAGCGCCCGCCGCCAACCGCCAGCTTCACCCCCTCGCCGCCCTGACCTCGCACGAGCAGCAGGGCTTCGTATCAGGCCGCCAGTTCCTGAACAATGTAGTCACCGTGGACGCAGCTGCGCGCAGACACAGCCTATCCCCCACAGCATCAACTGACATGCCCGTCTTCGTCAGCATGGACATCGCAGCCGCATTCCCCAGCCTCGGCCATCAGTGGATGTGGAGCGTCATCGAGCGCTGGGGCATCCACGGCCACATGCTGCGCCTGCTCAAGGCCTGCTACTTCTGGCCCGTCTCTATCCTTGACCTCGGAGGAGCACGTCGCCCCCTGCTGATCGCAGCATCGGGCGTCGCACAAGGCTGCCCTCTGAGCGGCGCCATCTGGGCGCTCGTCTTCGACCCCATCACTATCGCCCTCAGCCGCGAGCTCCGCGAGATCCAGCGCGGGCTCGTCAGCGCCTGCGCCGATGACCTCGGCATCATCCTAGCCAGACTGTCCGACATCTCCCTGCTCGCCCCGCGCATGGTCGCTGCCGAAATACTTGCAGGCCTCCGACTACAAGCAAAGAAATGCATCGTCGTTCCTACATGGACGCTCCCCACACAAGACATTATCACCGAGATGCGCCACACCCTCGCGAACGCCCACGCCCCGTGGTCCAACTTCAAGATCGAGCCTATGGCACGTTACCTCGGCATCTTCGTTGGCCCAGGTGCGACGCTTGAGGGCCAGTGGCGAGGGCCTTCTGTCAAGTGGTGGGACCGCGTTGAGAAGCTCGCAGCCTCGCATGCCCCGCTGCAACAATGCTTCAAGCTTTGCAACGT